AAGGATATATATATATATATATATATGTGTGTGTGTGTGTGTGTGTGTGTGTGTATGTGTGTGTGTATTTTTTACATAGATGTTTTAACAAAATAATAATAGATGTATTGATTTTATATGGTACCATGATTTATTATTTTAATATTGTAATAGTAGTACTTTAAGATGAGGACAAGACTAATATTTTTTGGGGTTATAATTATTTATGATGTTTATAACAAGTGATAAGCAAAGTCGTGAAGATGAGAGGGTAAACGAGTTAAATAAAATAAGTTTCGTTGAAGGTTATCGATTTAGGATAAAATACGGTCCGAGTCATAATTATAATACCCGGTATTTATGGATTAGTATGATGTAGAAAGTGTATTAAAAATAAGCCAGAATTTTAAGTAATTTGAGACAATTCTTAATTATACGGATAATTGGTAAACTACCGGGTAACGGGACATTACCTAATTAACTAATATATCGGATAAAAATTAAAATTTTCTCTCACCCCCACGTGGCAGCCTTTGCCTTAGGAAGTGATGACTCTTAATTCATAGATCATGATATTCACTCATATAATTACACTTGTCTAGTTTATGTATAAAAATATGTGAACCATACCAACTAGCATGTCATTCAAGATACAAGTACCATACATACTCCTCTTTTTGTCAGAGTACCTCTTACTACTTATGCGCTGGTAAGGTCTATTTTCTTAATTCCTTTTTTTTCCCCTAAAAATGTATTCATACACCCTTGTTCGACAATATATTGATGGATTATTCAATATATGTGAGGAAATACAAATCCATGTAAAAGTGATACCAAGGTGATGGAATGAATTGTTGTCTTAGTGGAGGTTAGAAATACAAGTCTGCTTTCATCTATGTTGAAATCTCTGAAGAACCTTGAAAGTGTCTAGATGGTTTACAAGCTACCTTTAAGGTGTTTCCTTTTCGTTTGTGTTTTCCCCTCTCTCTGCTGGTGCAATGTTTGGTTCCTTGAGAGATGAAATAGTGTAGGAAATATTAAGCAATTTGTCTCTCCTTTCATGCTTTCCAAGTCAAAGAGTAAAGATAGGAAGAACTGAAAGGTCATCATAATAAAAAGACTATCCTAGTGAAAAGGAAGAAGAACGAGCTGTACTTACTTCCCATATTGTTTGACTTCCTTTGATTGTCTATGAGACAATTTTGTTGAAGGGAAATACTATGCACATTTAAGAAATGAAAGAAGTAAAAGTTGGAATTGCTGTAGTGTATTGGAATCTTGACGGTCACAGTCATGGACTTATTCTCAAAGAATATTATACGGATTTTCTTACTCCAGGTATGTTAAGGCTACGCCCTTCCTTCATTTTGGCATGATCTCATCATTATACAAGTTTGATAATGAGGCATAAAGAAAAATTCATATCCCGGAATTTGCGTATATTTTGCTAGTCTCCCAAGTTACGTATATCTTTTCTAGTTTTGTAAATTACCATATTCTCTTTATGGGGAATTCATATTCAGATGAGTATTTCCTTCTTCCAGTCAAGAGAGCAGACAATTTACATTTTCATTACCATCGAGCTATAATCGATGGGCAGGCCCCTATTGGGCAACCTCTGATCAGATGGTAAGTTATATATCGAGCCTACTGTGGCCGAGCGCTTATGAGCGAGCCCAGTTGGTCGAGATACAGAGCCTAGTATGGCTGAGCGCCTATGAGCGAGCCTACTACGGCAGAGCAGTTATATATATACCGAGCCTACTGTGGTCGAGCGCATATGAGCGAGCCTAGTTGGTCGAGATACAAAGCCTATTTTGGTCGAGCGCCTATGGGCGAGTCTAGTATGGCAGGGCAGTTATATAAATATATATACCGAGCCTTATAGGGCCGGACGTCTATTTTACTTACTATATTGAGAGAGTTAAGTCAGTATCAGCAGGTAAGCATATCTTCAGATTATCTTTGACTTCCAGTTGCTTTCACTTATTATATTATTAGTTCAGTTTCAGCTTTCAGTACATGCCTTACATATTTGGTACATTATTCGTACTAACGTCCTTTTATTGGAGATGTTGCATTCATGCCTGCAGGTATAGATAAACACTTTGATGAGTCCTCACAGTAAACGAGGTTTGCATTCAGCGAAGGATTGGTAAGACTCCACCTCATTCGGAGTGCAGCCGAGTCTATGAGTCATCATGTTAGAGTTTTTCTATAGACTTGTGGGTAGGCCGGTACCTTGTCCCATTTGATGTTGAATAATCCTAAAGGCTTTGTAGACAAACGTTCATTTTGTACAATATGTCAGAGGCCTTGACGACCCATATGTATTCATGATTTAAGAACGATAGCTTATCGATACAGTGTTGCCTACTTATAGTTATATGTTACGAGTTGTAACCATGTTGGCCCATGATAGTTACAAAAGGAATTAATGAATTACAGAGTGGTTCGTTCGGGCCAATACGGCACCGGGTGCCAGCCACGCCTCCTAGAGTTAGGGCGTGACAAAGTGGTATCAGAGCGGGTCGTGTCCTAGGGAGTCTATAAAGCTGTGCCTAGTAAAGTCTCACTTATGGATGTGTTGCGCGCCACATTTATAATTGAGAGGCTATGAGGCATTTAGGAAATGTTACCTTCTTTTGTTTTCAGATCGTGCCATAGAACTAAGTCGTAAAAAGTCAATATGAAGCTTTCGCTAGATTTAGTATGCACCAGAGGTGCAGGTATCACAGTAGAGCTTTAAAGCGTAATGTGGAAGGGAGGTTATGAAAGAAACAAAAGATACGATGAGAGATTGAAAAGTAAGTAAGGAAAAGGTGAAGAAGATATGAGATACTCAAGTACAAAAGATTGTGAATAGTTGAGACTTCAGATATAGTTTTGATTTTTGCTTAAGTTATAGAGGAGACCCTAGTGAAAATTTTACAAATATATAAGAGTTAAAATTCGAGGATGAATGTTCTAAAGGGGGAATGATGTTACACCCCGTAAGTTTAAACCCTTTATGCCAACTAAAAGAAAAAAAAATATTAAAACTTCTTACCATATAATATTATCATCTTTTTCACTTGTTAAAAAGTTATATTTTGTCTATCCTAACAATCACTTTACTTAGAAGGAAATTTAGTAACGTTAGGTGCTCTAATATGGGTAGGCGTACTCTCTTTTAATAGCTTGTTTCAATATCTTAGATTTTTTGCATAAGTTATGGTGGGGTTTATTTATGCCGGAAACCAAATTATACGACTAATGCAAAGTTGAACAGTTAATGTAAAGTTCTCCGCCAAATTATATTTTCTGTACAAGAGTTCAGACGAGCTAATAATATTTCAATACTCACGTTTCTACCACTGAAACAACAACAACAATCCAGTGTAATCCTACTAGTGGGGTCTGGGGAGGGTAGTGTGTACGTAGACCTTACCCGTACCCCGGAGAGTAGAGAGGCTGTTTCCGAAAGATCCTCGGCTCAATAAGACAAAAGGACAAAAGAACAAAAGGAAACAATATTAGTAACACCACAGAACAATACGAAAGAAATACATATATATATATGGAAAAATAAGAACAACATGAAATCAAGAGGCATGATACCAAGCAAAAGCAAAATAGTATCCTTACCAAACTAGTCCCCCAAAGTTATGACATAAGACGATACTCAGCTACCTCCTAGCCTACAACCTTAATACTCGACCTCCACATATTCCTATCAAGTGTCATGTCCTCGAAAATCTGAAGCAGCGCCATATCCTGCCTAATCACCTCCCCCCAATACTTCTTAGGCCGCCCTCTACCTCTTCTCGAGCCCTCCACAACCAGCCGTTCACACCTCCTTACCGGAGCATCTGGGCTTCTCCTCTGAACGTGCCTGAACCACCTGAGCCTTGTTTTCCGCATCTTGTCATCAATGGGAGCCACGCACACCTTCTCTCGAATATCATCATTCCTAATCTTATCCATCCTACTATATCCGCACATCCACCTCAACATCCTCATTTCTGCTACCTTCATCTTCTGGATATGTGATTTCTTAACCGGCCAACACTCAGCCCCATATATCATGGCCGGCCTAACCCCCGCTTTATAGAACTTACCTTTGAGTGTCAGTGGCATTCTTTTGTCACACAATACTCCAGATGCTAACCTCCACTTCATCCATCCTACCCCGATACGGTGCNATTACACTCTAGGTATTCCGTTTTTGTCCTGCTTAGCTTGAAACCCTTAGATTCAAGAGCTTGTCTCCAAACCTCCAGCTTCTCGTTAACACCGGTCCGTGTCTCATCAATTAGAACTATGTCATCAGCGAATAACATGCACCATGGCACATCCCCTTGAATGTGATGTGTTAACGCATCCATCACCAGGGCGAATAGGAATGGACTGAGCGCAGAACCTTGGTGTAACCCCATAACAACCGAAAAATCCTCAGAGTCGCCTCCCACTGTCCTANATCATAACCCGATTCTTTGCCCCATCATACATGTCCTTAATCGCCATAATGTAGGGAACCGACACGCCTTTTGCCTTCAAGCTTCTCCATAGAACTTCTCTATGAACCATGTCATACGTTTTTTCTAGGTCAATAAACACCATGTGCAGATCTTTCTTCTTATCTCTGTACTATTCAACCAACCTCCTAACAAGGTGTATAGCTTCTGTAGTAGAACGACCCGGCATGAAACCAAATTGGTTGTCGGAGACGGATACCGTCATCCTCAACCTTGCTTCCACTACCCTTTTCCATACTTTCATAGTATGACTTAGTAATTTGATACCCCTATAATTGCTACAGCTCTGGATATCACCTTTGTTTTTATACCGTGGGACAACCGTACTCCACCTCCACTCATCTGGCATCCTCTTCGCCTTAAAAATAACATTCAACAACCTAGTCAACCACTCCAAACCTGTTTTCCCCACACACTTCCAAAATTCCACCGGAATCTCATCAGGCTCGGTCGCTTTGCCCCTACTCATTTTACTCATAGCTCTCACGACCTCCTCAACCTTGATGCGCCTGCAGTACCCAGAGTTTGCGTGACTCTCGGAATGCTCCAATTCACCGAGCACAATATCCTGATCCCCTACATCATTTAGAAGTGTTTGGAAGTAAGTTTGCCATCTCCTCCTAATCTGGGAATCTTCCATCAATACTATACCATCGTCGTCCTTGATGCATCTCACTCGGTCTAAATCTCGAGCTCTCCTCTCTCAGCCTGGCCAGCCTAAATAACTTATTCTCCCCTCCTTTCTCCCCTAGTTCCTCGTACATACGACTATAAGCCGCAGTTTTAGCCTCTGTAGATTCGCTTCCTTCCTAGCTACCTTATACCTCTCCATGCACGCTCGCCTCTCCCCCTCACCTATGCTCCCCACTAACTTTTGGTACGCCTCCTTTTTTGCTTCCACTTTACCTTGTACCACTTCATTCCACCACCAGTCTCCTTTGTGCCTGCCGGAGACGCCTGTTGAGACCCCTAACACCTCTCTCACAGCCTCTCTTATATAGTTTGTTGTCGTTGACCACACAGAGTTCGCGTCACCACTGCTCCTCCAAGCTCCCATAACCGACAACCGCCCTTCCAACTATTGAGCTTTGTCCTTAGTTAAGGCTCCCCACCTGATTCTCGGTNAGAACAAACTAGAATAAGACAAGATGCCACTATAGGCGCCCTAATCTGGTGACTAAACTAATAAGAACTAAAGGACATCAATTTTATTAACACAATAGAGATAAATAGGCAAATGGGAGGTACCAATTCCCGTGACTATAACCTGGGAATTGTCTTGGTATACTCGACTGTATTGCGTCCACCTAGCTCGTTCGCGTCTAACTCCTGCTGTTCCGTGCTGATACTCGTGTTGTTTTTCACTATTTACACGTGCACGTCTCGCTCGCCGCCCAAAGCCACTGGTCCTAACTGAAACTGTCAGACAGGTCCTGTTGCGTCGTGTCAGAATGCTCTGGCTTGAAGACGGATCTGGTTTATATGTCACCATGGCACTGCAACCAGGCCTGAAACCTGACTGTGGTTGTTCCCACTCGCCGGTGATTGATTCGTGTCTCGCCGGAGTAAGAGGGGGAGAAGACAAAGACGGGAAAGGAGGATAGGCGGGGTGAGAGACATGGGCAGAGAGAGAGAGGAGGGGTGTTGGATGATGGGGAGGAGAGAGGGGCGAGGGGACTCACCTGGGCGGTGGGTGGTCGCCGACGACTGGATTAGTCGCTGTTAGAAATTTTTGTTATGTTACCGTTGGGTGTTGGCAGTGAGCATTTGAAGAGAGAGTTAATTCTACCACTGAATATGGATAATTTTATCAAGTACAAACAAAAGAAGGTTAGCTTTTTACCATTTTAAGAAATAAGCGTACGAGAATTTGTACTCTTTATACGAGGTTAGCAAAATTAAAAGTTAAATAAATATATATATGTATTTTTTTACATAGATATTTTAACAAAATAATAATATATGTATTGATTTTATATGATACCATGATTTATTATTTTAATATTATAATAGTAGTACATTAAGATGAGGACAAGACTATTTTTTGGGGGTTAATTATTTATGATATTTATAACAAGTAATAAGTAAAGTCGTGAAGATAGAGGGTAAGTGAGTTAAAGAAAATAAGTTCATTGAAGGTTGTCGATTTAGGATAATATACGGTCCGAGTCATAATTATAATATCCGATATTTATGAATTAGTACCATAAAACGCACCATATGACCACGTTGGTATGATGTAAAAAGTGTATTAAAAATAAGTAAAATTTTAAGTAATTTTAGATAATTCTTAATTATACGGATAATTGGTTAACTACCGGGTAACGAGACACATTACCTAATTAACTAATAAGTCGGATAAAGATTAAAATTTTCTCCCACCCCCACGTGGCAGCTTTGCCTTAGGAAGTGATGACTCTTAATTCATAGATCATGATATTCACTCCTATAAACTACACTTGTCTAGGTTATGTATAAAAGTATGTGAAACATACCAGCTAGCATGTTACTACTTACTAATAAGAGGGAATAGTAAGCACCTCTTGGTCAACATGAGTGCTTCCCAGGAATTACCAATTAATCCGAGGGTATTATTGTCATTTAACGTATTTCTAGGCCGACTCTTATTGGTGGGACAACACGTGCAGTCTCATTTTCTGTCAATGGAACATTTGTTGCACTCTAGGACTTTTGTTCTCTCTCTAACTCCCATTCGTTCTTAAGTTTTCTTGTCAGAGCTTTTTCTTATCCCAGGTGAGGGTTATGTTACTATTGTTTTTAGTTATTTTATTTCATAATTATCTTGCAATTTTCTGTAAATCATTTGAATTTTGCATTTTGGTCGTT